CACAAAATGCAGCACAAAACAAGCATTGTTTCCTAAAACTTTGATTCTGGCAGCTGGAGGTTCTTCACTATCTATTAAACCTTCCTTTCTCTTCTTTTTAACAACTTTTTGAATTCAGCGGGTACTATCTATCCAGAATAGCACCAGTGTTTCTTACCGAAATTAGTCTAGACGCCTTTGTTGTATTCTCCTTTTTTGGCGCTAAACAGGAAACATTTTTGTCAACTTTCATTTCTTATTTTCTATCCTGGTGCAATACGTCCTGTAACCTGTGTCAATGTCCCTTGATTCGCGCACTTCACACAGAGAGGGCACACGCCATGTGAAGCTTGGTTTGTATCTGAGAACTAAAATGGCTGGCGCTGTGAGCCAAATTTCGAGTAGGAGTGCTACAGTACTCTTCAAAACCCACCTGTTGACATATTGTTCTACGTTCAAGTGCATCTAATCCACAAAGTTTTTGCGCGTTTTGAATAATAATGGATAATGAATATGGTCTTTGCTGCAATTTCGTTCATTGTTCGGCTTCGTTCATTGTCGGGCGTGCTATGTACACGTTAAATACGTCTTTTTGCAAGTTATTGTACATGTCATACTAATATGTAATGTGGTTTTGTTGTTTAGACTTATTTCTGATTTTTTATTTCATTCGTTTATTTATCTCATGGCAATTTATGGTGTTGTGTGTGCTCTGTGCTCTGTATGAGGATCGTGTTAACTAGGAGTGTTACAAGGGTTTCACTGCAGATAATTTTTCATCAATCTTCGCTGCCCAAGTATCGTTTATGCTGCCAACGAGGTAGGTAACGTTTGAGAAATTACTAGGGAACCTTGTTATGTTTGAACTTATTTAAAAAACCTTATCGATTTAGTTAATTTATCGTTGGCGTAGCTTACATGCCGAGTTGCCGCCTGTCGTGCAATTGATTTGACACTCATTGAAATTCCTAAGGCCGGAGTTGATCCATGGAAGCTTGTATCTATACCTAGTCTGGGAGTACAAGCTGCAACAATTTCAGCAACGGTTTCTAAACTTGTTGAGACTGCAATAGTACATCAATTGAAAAGTTTGGCTGAAGAAGCTTTGACCACAGCAGGTTGTGCCTGAAATGTCTGAGCTATTCAGATTGGATCAACTTTAATATATTCAAATTACGCATTTAATGTTACAATATTAATTAGCATTTACGTAATTACTGAGCATTTACACTGTAAATTTAACCAGACTGTTTTATTTACACACTTTTTAGTGTTAGCAACACATTATAAACCACAATTAACACTATAATCGTGCACAAGTCGTCGT